CCCTGACTCCCATCCCCCAGCTGACTGTCTCAAGGAGATATTTAAAAGGAATTACTATTGTTTGTGTACTCTGAGTTGGATGTACTGGAGAAATACTGACAAGAGATCTTCAAGAGGTTAAATAACCAAACAGCCTTTACTGGCAACTTTAGAAAAAAAGAGAAACTTGGCAAAATGTTTAATACAACATTCAATCAATTAAAAACACTTCTCAAAGCATTACCTTGGTCCATTCAACTTCACAAGATCTAAGCCTGTTCAATTTTATGTTCATCAAAATTTGCAAAAGGAGGGAATTAGAAGAAGACACAGAAAGGGAGAAAGAAGAAAAAGATTTTGAGAGGCACACAGCTACCAACTCCTGGATTCCACCTGTGTTCAGATGGAAATTCCAAGAGTAGGTAAGGCCAGGATTTGTTCTTGCTTTGTGGTCAGCCTTAAATACCCCTTGGTCTTCCTGGGTCCTTCCCCCAGGTGGGATTTGGGCTCATTTGGTCCCTCAGGAGCTGGGCTGGGGCTGCAGAGGTGGCTGTGGAGCATTGCCTGTGCTGTGCCGGGGACTGGCAGCCACTGCTGGGCTGGGATGGAGGCTCTTGGGAATTGGGGTTCCAGGGCAGGGCAGGGCTGGGGTTCCAAGGCAGGGCAAGGCTGCACCTGCCCCTTCCTCCCTCCTACATGAAATGTTTTGAGCCAACAATCTCCTCCAATCTGTCACAATTTGGAATATTGGAGGTGGATCCCCAATTCTGGCCATGGGCACCTGGACTAGAAAGACAGTTCTATTCCATAGAGGCCCAGAGTTTGGAGAGCCTCATTAGGCCAAGGCCAGCCAGACTTGTCAGTTATGCCAGATCTTGTCTGAGACCTATCCTTGGATATAAGGAATTTTGGAGGTGGAAGCCCAGTCTCAGCCATGGGCACCCGGAGAAGCACCACAGGTGTTTTCCATAGGAAGGAGAGCATGGAACCTTCCTCAGTGTTTTGGGGACATGTGAAAAATGCCAATCACTTGTTTTTAAAATTTTTAAAAGTTTAATAGTAATAAAATGGTTAAAAACAATAGTGACACAATTAGAGTAATAACAATTTGGACAAATTTAAATACAACAATATGAGACAATGAAAGCAAAGAGTTATGGATGTCCGGGTACCTTTTTCTGGGCATCACAAGCCCAAAAATCGACCTCTGCTAACAAAGGATTAACCCTTAAGAACAATAGCCCATTGCATATTCATGCATTTCATACATGATGCATAAATTC